GTGGTGGTGGTGGTGGTGGTGGTGGTGGTGGTGGTGGATCCACCAGTGTCGGCATCACATATCTCTTCTCTCTCGCTTGCGCCAGTCGACTGTCTATGTCTGTTAGCCATCTGGTGTTGGAATTTGACGCAGTGGCTGGTGCGGCGTGACATCACCCGGCGTACAATGAGCTGACCTGACCTCCGTCTGATTCTGTCTTGTCTACAGCTTGACCCCTCATGAGGACGAATTCAAGGATACGAAAGTGCAATGATTACTGAGGATGGGGTTAGGCGCAGTAGATAGTCGGGTATTCAGTCCTGTTTGTGGTGGACACGTGGTCGAGATCAGTCAAGCTTATAGAACGGTTCTCCGATATGAGGTAGGACTGCGAACCGTCGCACTGCGTCAAATGCCAGGGAGATCAAGGTGACGTTTAGGGTTAGAGCTAGTGTTTGGGTTAACGTTAGGGTGAGGGTTAGGTTTAGGTTTAAGGTCCGGGCTTGGCTTGGTGCTACGGCAAGGAAACGGGAATAAGCACCCTGCCTGAGGTTAAGCGCAATGTCACTTGTATTAGGACGGCTCATGTCCACGCTTCTTACCCAACATGTTAGCACCGTGGCAACAGGGTCATTTGGCTAAGGGGTCAAAGTTATTCACATACTAGCATGGTTCCCTAACACGCTCAGGGCGTTCTGTTCACACGCGGGGGGGGCTATTTTTTGTTTTAGCATAAAAAAACAAGTTTGTGTTTCTGTGAAGCAAAATCGCGAAGTGGCAAACCGAAAATACAGCCAGTAGTCGTTTGTTTCGGGATAAGAACAAAGACGCCGAGCATGAGACTTCTATCGGAGGTGTCAGCATCCCCTGAGCATGGAGTTGTTTCGGACTCTGTTCTCGAAACAAATTAACTGTGGATTCTGAAAAGTACAAGTTAACTAAATCATCCGTAGAAGGAACGACCGTAGAGGAAAGCACATATATTTGCAGAATCCGAGAACTCATGATGAAAACAGCGGTAATTGCAAGGTGGGTAGTGATAAAGATGAGAAAACGATCATTACTGAGAGGTGCCGTAATTTTTTGTTAAGTCAGGTACCCGTTACTTTCATAGAAAGCCCTAACGAAACAATGAGATCCTCGAAAAATTAGTTTCCTCGATAATTTTAGCCGTTAACGCAACATACCTCGTCAGACGCAATGACTGGGATGTGGGGTTGGCGCCCCAGCGGGCAATTAGCATTGGGGTCTGCGATAAGCCATCCCAAAATGCGGATTCGATGGGGAGGGGAGTAGGAATGGCTAGCAGTGGTTAGTTGGGAGTAGACAGCAGTTTACATGGTTAGCGTTAAAACGCCACGTTAGCAACTGAACAAATCCCAGGCTGACAGGCCCGCCTAGGCTGCCAGTGCATAGGAGTGGAGAGGGGGAAAGAAGCTGATCCTGGGATATCTTTTTTCTCTTGGGAAGTCAGCGCATTCCTTACTAGATCCAGTCCGACTCGTAAAAACTCGCTGTCTCGAAGATTGCCTGCTTGCGGGATTGCTTGATTTTATCCAGACTGTAGACTTTTCTAGGTGCAGCCTCGATGACGATTCTCTCATGTGTGGCACCCGAGCCCGGGCGTGGCCCACGATGGACTGCGGCTTTACGTCACTTCGGCTGCCGCGTACAATCCTAACACCATTCAGCTTGTGTCTGAGAGGACAGGGAGAGTCAAATCATTTAAGTTCAGTTTTAGCATTCATATTCTCCTATAAAGCTAATCACACGCGCCTTTATCCCCAAAACGCCAATAGTCGTGACTTTGGAGGCTTCCAAGTTATGAAATAGCTCGATCCTCCTTTGAAACAATGATCAGATTCCGATAGCCCACGTGTTATATGACCTTCGCGGCACACTCGTATATGTGAGATTCCGAACCCCCCTCAGTGGCGACCGGCGCACGTATGGTACGTGTGTGCCTACGTGGCTTCAACCTCGTCGTGGCAAAGTACACTTCTCCATGGGTAGGTGCATCTTGGTGATTTCGATGTCTGAAACACAGCCCCCCCCCCCACAAATAGATAATTTTCGAAAGATTTTTACTCACCAACATCCACAGATACTTCCCCAATGTTTTTTGTGACTATAGGTGCATGCATTCGTCATACTGACAGCCCAAACACGTGTTTCGCAGCAGCCGGGGCCTCGACTCATCAGTGGATGCCCAGGCTTTTAACTTGTACCTGTGTTGTTGACTTGCTAAATTGCGCAACACGTGTGTGCTGCTGGCTGCTTGTAGGCGGATATTTCGCCGAGGTAAGGATAGGGTTTGTAACCCTTCTTAGGCGATTTTTCAGAAATTTACCTTCATATATCTTATCTGGGTAGCTGTGGTGCGGCCCCAAGGCACAACGGGACGAGTGAGTCCCATAGCGCGACCGGTAAGCCTCCCTCTACCATTGTATATACCCGATCGCAACCGACGGTACAGCCAGCCCGTGGCTCAGTGGTCAGGCGGCCTTGGACTTCTAACTAACAGGTTGCGAGTTCGAGCGCCAGGTGTTGCACACCTGGCTACCTGACGACACCCAATAAACCAGAAGTGACCACTCCAGTCTCCACTGTCTTTGTCGGTAACGCTATTCTGCGGTTCATAACGATTTGCCCGACAAAAGATCGGCATATGGATTTTGATCTTCACTAGCTTTATAGACGTCAAAGTTGCCCAGATCAGGCTTGCAGATACGGTTGGAGTTAGGGTTATTATTAGGAGTTGGGTTATTCCTAGGACTAAGGTCGCCAGGCTTGGGTTATAGTCTGCATTTGCCTTTGAGGCTAGAGTTGGGGTTTAGAATTAGGGTTAGGAGTTTAAGCCAGGATTTTAAGTTTTGGGTTGGGGATTTAAGACCTAGGGTTAAGGTTGCGCTTACGCTCGACTTCTCCCTAAATGCTTACGGGTTAAGAGTTAGGGTTGTAAGCGAAGTACCGTTCTGTGGAATTTTTTTGCTCATCGTTTTTTCAGCAACCCACTAGCCTAGAGAATAATGCAGTGGCAGAGAGTGCGAGGAGTATGAAGTATGCTTCCCGTCCCTTCCCACCTTAAAAAAATCCTGCGACAAGGATCGAGTAGGCGGTCCAGGCTAACTCGGATCGTCCTCTCACTAAACAGAAGTCGTGGCCCATAGTGGAGTCGGCAGCCGCCTGGGACAACTGAGCAGCCCTATTTAGGGAGAGCACTACTCACCCCCGCGAGAGGAAAGGGGTTAGAAAAGGTGCCCTAAACAAATGCTGGGGATCCACGACGTCTGTAGACTGTCGCCAATCGGTCTCATTGGACATCTTCGTGCCAATTGCAGCACCCTGACGGCACCATCCGATGACCGCACTCCTCCTCCGTCGCCTCAACATCTGCTAAGGTGGCCCCTGCAGCCAATCTTAACGCATCGACAAACATTAACCTCGCCACCGCCAGCACCAGCGATGTAGACTCGGTAGACACCTGTCCCCCCATTGAGATCTTACCATCACCTCACACATCGGTCTGGTCGGTCACTTGCGAATCCATTGCACAGAGATCGGCGAACCAGTGCCTGGAGCACCAACATACATCCGACGCGTCCGCCCCAACTGCGCCCGCACATTCACCCACCGTATGGGCCTATTAGGCCACATACGCGTTCAAGAAAACCTAGGAGTGGCTTCGGCCGCACCAGCCCCTTTCGCTGTTGGTTGAAGTCCTGGTCATTTGCTGTGTTGACTAGGGGGTGTGGGGTGGAGTGTCAGGGTGCGGGCTCGACCGCCTGCGCCCTCCCCCGCCTCCGGTCTTCCTCACTCCGTTTTGACACCGCACCCAAGTGGGGGAGGAGAGAGCGCGGCAGATCCTGCGCAAGTCTACTCTCACTATAAACTAAATTACGCGCAAGTCACCGTGCCTGCTCCCACCCTGTTGTGGAGCACACGGCGGACATCGGACGCGACGGTCGCATTGTCAGTAGTAGTGTTGGTGGTGGTAGTAGTAGTAGTAGTAGTAGTAGGAGGAGGAGGAGGAGGAGGAGGAGGAGGAGGAGGATGAGAGGGAGGGGAGGATGAGGGAAAGAAGGATGAGAAGGGGAAGCTGGTGTGCCGCTAATATCGACAGCAATTGCCGATGCCGTGTTATCAGCGCCATCGTGCTTGTCAAAAACAGTCATAAAATTCGGAAATCTGGCTCGTAATGACCACAATCCAAACATGGGTCAGAGTTCTATCGGAGCGGCGGCGGCGGTGTTCGAATGCAGGCATCGCGAACCCCAGCAGTACGAAGTTCACTGGTTAAGACAATAAGTTGGAGATTTCGGACGAAGTCCCACGCAAACATTTCTGGGCAGACGCCTTAACTACCATAAACAATGCGCAAGAGAATGCCCTTAAACGGAAACAGGAAAGTTTCCGGCCGACAGCTCTTGAGTCCTGAAGCCTGCACAACCTTAAAACACAGTTCTGGCAGTAAAAGCCAGGCTTGTACACTAGAGCAAGAGCAGGCAATCACAGTAGTTACATGACTCCAGTGGTGGAGGCATGCAGTCGTCGAGAGCATACATCTTGACAAAGGGATCGGGGTGGTGGTAGAGAAGGGTATGATGGTTAGGGAAACAGAAGGAAAAAGTAAAGAACACGGGGTTTGGACGGGCGGGGGGATCCTAGTTCCGTTTGCGTCCACCCTTACGCTGCGTCGGGGTGTGCTGGTCCTCGGCAAGTGAACTGCCAGCTGCCGACGTTGAGGGAGAGCCGTGTTTCCGAGCGCTGGAGCCACCGGCGCGTTCCGAGTTCTCACCACCCTTCATGAGGTTTGACAGAATCTCGAAAGCAAAAAGAAGGGAGGCATGAGTGTGCGCGTGTCAAGTCCGGCTGGCAGAATGGAGAATTACCTCACCGAAGGTGGACCACGAAAAAGAAACCGACAGACTGCTTGCAACAAGCACAAAAAAGACAAAACGTCGACTCTATTGTTTGCGGCGCGTTATAGGGCACGCGTCTGCTGTGTCACGAGCACACATTTGGCATGCTCATCGCCGAAACAAGTCCAAGAGTCGCGAGCAGAGGGCTTCGTCAAAAACGACTGTGCATGTACGAAGGCGCAATGAGGCGTGAAGCGGGCATGCACTGACTTCGCATGAGCTTTAAGATCACAGTTTGCCTGTCTAGAGGGGGGGAGTATTTTTGCAACTAAAAGGCAGGCTGGGGATGGGTTGCCAGTACTCCCTCAGTTACTTAAATTGGTATATTTGGTGTTAAGAGCTGTAGGCTGCTCTTCTGGTGCTCTTCAGCCACCTACAGTAGGTGGGCTAACTCATAAAATGTTGACCGAAATTCCGAAATGCGTTTTCATTTCGAAAAGAGTAATTAAGTAGGGTTGTAAAACTAGTCACTCTGCAACATAATTCTATCACATTTCAGTTACTGCAGGATGCCGGCTTTCGAATGAACTTCCTTCCGGCTGCATGCAAAAACCATACTCTGTAAAAAATTGACTACTTATGTAGCATGAATTTTTCTCATTGATTTTCGATGCCCCTAAATTTCCGATTATATTACATGGAAAACATGCATAAAAATATTGATTCTTTTGCCCATTCGGTAGATAATTACGTCCTTTTCTAACTTTATACTCGAAGGAGGAACATAATTCGGTCTTAAAAAGTTTCTAATTGTGGAACTTTTAAATACTGTGAAATTGCCGCCCATAAATCATCATGTCTCTGCATTTACCAATATCGCTTGTGAAGTCAACAATATGGATCAAATCCACCGCTAAATTTTATGAACCCCATATGGTCTCCTCTTAATATCATGGAGAAATGTATGCTTTCCCGCACGCGGAAAATATACGGCTGGTAGTTTGGAAACTCTGAATGCTAGTGTAACGGCAGGTCGGGGTTCAAAATTATTCTGGAATTGGAAACGTTTTTGAAAACCGAATGATGTCCCTCCTTCGAGTATAAAATCAGAAGACGTAATTTTCTACCGAATGAGCGAAAGAATGAATATTTTTATGCATGTTTTCCATGAAATACAATTGGACTTTTGGGGGCATCGAAAATCAATGCGAAAAATTCGTGCTACTCAAGTAGTCGTGTTTTTACAGAGTGTATTTTTACATGCAGTCAGAAGAAAATTCATTCGAAAGCCGGCATCATGACGTAACTGAATTATGATAGAAATATTCTGCATGATGATTAGGTTTGCAACCCTACTTAATTAATCTTTTCGAAACGAAAACGCATTTCGGAATTTCGGTTGACATTTCATGAGTTAGCCCACCTACTGTAGACCAGAATGGATGTGTATACCAAAGGTAAGTCAGCAAAGTGAAAAAGTCACCAGGTGTAAGGCACTGGGAGTGGAGAAACGTGCATACTGACATTGGGGCAGTTGTGTAACTTTAAGTCTCGCGCTGGCCCGAGACGGCGACCAGACGGTTTTGTGGAAAATCCCGCCGTAAAATGAGAAAGACTCTAAATGAGGCCGTCCGCTGCAAGCGACGAGGGCGGACGAGAGCTTCTGAAATGAGCCTCGGATTAGAAAGGACTACTTAGGTAGGGTTGTAATAGGGACCAGCATGCACAAGATATTTCAGTCACGCTAGGATGTCGGCTCTTGAAAGAGCCTTTTTTTGGCCGCCTGCAAAAACCACACCCGGTAAGATAACAACAACCTAAAGTAGGTGGGCTAACTCATGAAATGTCAACCGAAATTCCGAAATGCGTTGTCCTTTCGAAAAGATTAATTAAGTAGGGTTGTAAAACTAGTCATCATGCAGTATAATTCTATAATAATTCAGTTACCTCAGGATACCGGCTTTCGAACAAACTTCCTTCCAGCTGCATGCAAAAAGATACTCTATAAAAAATGGCCACGTGTGGTATGCATTGTTTTAGTGATTTTCGATGCTCTTAAAAGTTCAATTATTTTTCATGGAAAACATGCACATAAATATTCATTCTCCCGCTCGTTGGGTGGAAAATTACGTATTCTTTTAATTTTATACTCGAAGGGCATAATTCGGTTTTTAAAGACTTTTCCAATTCCCGAATAATTTTGAACCCCGACCTGCCGTTACACTAGCATTCAGAGTTTCCAAACTACCAGCCGCATGTTTTCCGCGTGCGGAAAACCACACATTTCTCTATGGTATTAAGAGGAGAACATATGGGCTTGTTAAAATTTGGCAGTGGATTTGAGCCATATTGTTAACTTTACAAGCCACATTGGTAAATGCAGAGACATGACGTTTTATGAACGGCCATTTCATAGCATTAAAAAATTTCGCAATTAGAAACTTTTTAAAACGGAATTATACCCTTCCTTCGAGTGCAAAGTCTGGAGAAAACGTCATTTTCTACCGAATGAGCAAAATAATGAATATTTTTATGCATGTTTTCCATGAAATATCATTAAAGTTTTAAGGGCATCGAAAATCAGTGAGAAACATTCACGTTACTTAAGTAATCTTTTTACAGAGTATGGTTTTTGCATGCAGCCCGAAGGAAGTTCTTTCGAAAGCCGGCATCCTGAGATAGCTGAATTATTATAGAATTATGCTGCATGATGATCAGTTCTACAACTCTACTTAATTACTCTTTTCGAAACGAATTTCGGCTGACATTTCATAAGTTAGCCCACCTACTGTAAGTAGCATAGATTTGTTCCACTGATATGCCATGCCCTTACAAATTCATAAGTACTTCGTGGAAAAAATTCATACAATTGCTGAAGTAGGCAAGAAGGGCAGGATTTACTGGTACCAAAAAATTTCGCGACAGCTCTTCAGCTGCGTCCTGTCGCTTCATAAGAGAGATAACGAAATCAGGTCCTCTGCAAGTGTGATACGTGAAAAACGAATACCTCTGAGTTTAATTCCTGAATAATTCTGAACCCTATTTGCAGTTGCACTTGCGTATTGCTAAGAAAATGTCATACAGCGATTAGAAAGCTTTGCAGTTGATTTGGACCATATTTCATAAATCGTAACCAACACTAACCAATGGACAGATACAATGCTGTAAGGATGGAGATTTCAGTCTAAAAACCTCATAGTAAAGAACTTTTGTAAACCCTTTCTTGAAGCAGGCGTAATTTTGCCACAAAATGAGTATAAGTAAGAGTATTTAGTGAATGTTTTCTATAAAATATATTTAAATTAACAAAGGCACCGAAAATACATCGGAAAAAACCTGCTACTTAAGTGGTCATTCTTTACCATGCGTGGTTTTTGCAGGCGGTCAGAAGGATACTAATTTAGAAGCCCGCATCTTGGTCTGACTGAAATTTTCTGGAAGCATGCCGCACGATAATCACTATTACAACTCCACCTTTGTCATCCCCTCTAATAGGAAACACATTTTAGGGGTCCCGTTAACATTTCATGAAAAAAGACCGGCTACTGTACGTGAAGATCTTATTTGCATCCACCCAACATCGCGTTCCAACGGAACGAGGGAGACGAGGTAATTGGAAATGATTACGGGCGTTGTGGCTGGCGGGACTGGCTGCATATCCCGCGACAGATAGCACGCTGTGCTATTTCAAGGCGACGTTTGTGCGGGAAGAAGTAAAGGATGGACACTAGTTATGTAAAAGCCAGAACGCTAGCCGGGACGATCTCATTCTCTCTACTACAGACCAACAAGCTCGACTCAAGCCAACCGCGCAAGTCACCGTCTCTGTTTTCACGCCACTATAGGGCACACGGTGGACATTGTCGGTCAGGACGGTCCAACTTTCGTGTGGGTAATGTGTGAGGCTTTAGTGGTTGTTTTATGCACGCGCATATGGCCGAACAGGCGAGACTGTGTCAGCAAGCAATACGGACTTGACAGGAATTAGCGGAAACTCCCGGGGGTGGTTCACTAGCAGTATCGCGACGGGTTCGCCTGTGTATGACCAGGCCCTTGCGTGGCGGAAATATGCGGCGGCAGATTTGAGGCAGGTTTGCATGCTTACCGCGTATGTGAGGAGGTTAGGAGTGCGAGACAGGATGCATGATTTCTGCCGATGACTGATCACTAAACCCCACAGCCTGGAGCCTACATTCAGTGAATTCTGAGTCTCTTTGCCTACGGGTGCAACAACTTTGGACAAAGCATCAACACACAAAACGATTTTCGTGACCCAACTGGCGCCAATCTGCAAAATACATCGAGCCCAGAATACCTGTCAATGAAACTCGCCTCGCAGCGGTAGACCATCTGAGGGATCAGTTAAATCGGTGACAAAATTGCGACCCGGATCTTCAAAACCAGTGGGGCTTTTGACAGTCTGCGCATTCAGCCTGGGGACGTCGAGTTGCCCTCCTCAACACGAGACCTGGGACAAACGTGGATGTCATTCTAGCAACTGCCCTTAACGGTTTGGAGACCAGGGAAACCTACCAAAGATATTCAAATTGATTTTTGTTAACATCAAAGGCAGATACGCGGCTCCTGGAGTTGTCTGACATACTGGGCATCTATGTCATAATGACATAAATTCAGCTAAGATGAAATGATGGGCGTATGCTGAGACAACCGTTCTACAGGGACGTAGCTGTGGACACTCGCAGGCAAGGTGGATGAAAACGACGCACATGTAATCGATACGAACCACCAAGCCGACGCTAAAGAAGCTTTTGAAGTTATCTAACGGGCACTGGCACACTACTCTAAAAGCCTGCGCAAACGGGTGCTAGCCACAGCTGAAGCTGTGGCCATTCGACTGGCGAACCCAGCACTCTGTTGTCAGAAGACGCTGACACTAGCAGTATGTCTGCCCTGGCCGACTCCAGACGGTGATCGCACGCCGTCCCGACGCACTGCGAGCAGTCACACGCACTCACAGCGCTTACAATCTAACCGGAACCCCTCTACTTCCCCCCCCCCCCCCCCCCCAACTCCTTCCCTCCCCCTCCCCCCTCCCTCCCACCCCAACTCCACCGTTCTCAACGCGTTGACTCCGTCATGCGAGTGGCGTGGGAACGTGGAGTCCGATTAACCCTGCTCTTGAGACGCATTTATATCCTGTCGACAAGAAGACTGATCATTTCCTATGGAAATGTACTGGCCTGATGATGAATAACCGAAAACATATTTTTGCCAATGGACTTTACAATAATAACACTTTGAAGACCTCCTCCAGTGCCTCCTACCCAGCCAAGAGGCAGTGAAAAGGCTTACACATGGCAAGCAGACATGGCGACCGGGTGCAAAGCTAGATAAGCCATCTTTGAAAGCAAATGAATAGCGTAGGCCAACGCAAGACGCGTAAAACTGGGATGACAGCCGATATCTCCCATTGTCGACTTCCGTTCAGGACACGGATTGGACGTGTTGAGCAACTTCGGATGCATCGCGGTATCAGCACGACCAGCCGACTCTGCGCAAAACAATGTGATCACCAGGGAAGTAACCCCTCCCATCAGTTCTGTTTGCACTTGCCTGACATCGAAAAGCCCACTACAATGAGAAACCCTAGGTCACAGAAGACACTCGCCCGCATCTTAGGCAATGCCGACTTTCTTCCACAATGATTGCTCATTCTAGTCATGTTACGGCACGGTTAGACACTTGGAAGCCATCACAACACAGGTTGAGAACCAGCGCCTGAGGTTCCAGTCAACCGCTCCACCGAGATCCGAGCCGTCCTCACGGAGGCCTAGTGCATGTAATGGGGCACATTTCGTGCTTGGCATCCGTAGATGTGCTGCTTGGCTTTATCAGCCACAGGTCCCAGCCCACCTCTGGTCGTCTTGATATTCTTTTGCCGTCGGTACGAGGCGGGCGGAGAGAGCAGGGTAGGTGCCTCGCAAGTCTGCTCCGCAATAAACTACTTCACGTGCACCCACTCCAAGGGGCGCGCGGAGGACGTCGCCGCTTGTGACGGTCGAATTGCAGCAAAAAGAATCTGTCTGGGGCAAATGGAAGATCTGGTAGACGATAGTATTAGGACCAAATGGAAGAAATCGCAGGAATCCATCCAGACCACTGAGGTCGGAATCATACGACTCAGATGTCAACAACACTAAGGCTAGTTTAGTGGTAACAAGGAAAAACCGCAACTTCCTCAGGGGAAACTATAAACGCAGGACCTATGTGAATAAAAATTGGACTGGGGCAAACTAATTCGACTTCTTCTATGACGAGCCCATGTGCAACACAGGCCGAGGTATATGTGGAGCAGGAGAAATTCAAGGATTGACAGTGGGATGAAAAACTTGGCGGATACCAAGACACTTCACAGCCTTCAACCCCAAGGAACTGAGCTGATGCTCAACTCAGACATACTGGCATAAAAAAAATAGCCCAAACTGGGTGAGCTGGGTCTGAGAGCTCTAGGGGCGTCCCCAATAACCAAACGACAATCTGCGAGAAAGCCCTCAAAGGGCTGCCCTAGGTGGCCTTGATCACTCGCCCTCTCCGCGGAGGACGATCAAGACTGTGCGGCAAATGTCCAGAGGAGACAACCTGGTGCTCACTCAATTCTACAAACACAGTGTTCATAAACTTCTGAATGGACTAACCTAGCTGTTCTACACGTGCAAACACAAACATATTCCGGTAATTTAAGGATGTCGCTAGTATTTATGTTTATAAGCGTAGAAAAAACGGAGAGGCAAAATATTTGCCTGAGAGCGTAGAAGGGACACACGCTCCTTCCAGGCCCGTAATGATCATTCAGATGAAACCGTCAAGAAACGAGCATAACTTACGCAACGAGGCAACTGCAAGAGCTGAGCAACTAGAATGAGCCTTACATTGAGACCTCCGGTCAAGACTGGATGTGCTGAACGTTGGACGCAGATGAACAGACAACTACACACAGGTATGATGGCGCGCGTAACGAAAAATGGGTCAGCTTTGGAAGAACTCGCGGTAAAACGTGTGATGAATCAAAGGCATATACGTGTACCACCCTACTGAGTTGCATATTCTCCTTCAAGCAGATGGACAGCGAAGAGCGGACTAACGCCGACATCAGCCGGCCAACTGATGGCAGGCTACCTAACGTCCGACGTGTGCAGGTGGGTGGCTGCGTTGCGCACCACAACCAAAACAGACATTCTCTTTGAGGATGCACCAACTTTCGATTAAGCGTTGGCATATACTGATCAGCAAGACCATATGAGTAGGACGAAGCCGTTAAGTCAGTTGCTTTAGCCATCAATTACTGAGCAAAATCCCTCCATCAAGGCAGCGAGGTCGTCATGACAAAGGTTGTCAGTTTGATGTAGAAGCTTTGGAAATATCGCAGGGTTAAGCTACGCCTAAACAAACAGTGGGGAGAGAACATCTTCACTTGGAATAATGCCGCTTGTAGGAACCCTCTGATCAAGTGTACCCATTTGTCCGCCCTTGTTTCTAAGTCGTTGCGACGATGAATTCTGACCTGTGATAGTGGATACAGGGGTGTGATCCGGGCTATTTCAGTCGCCATCACCTGGAACGAATGTCTCGTGTAGGGCAAACGGAGCCTGTTTCGAATGGGGGCCTGTAATTCTTTCTGGCAGTAGATGGGATGCCGCGCGTTTCGGATATTACCAAGGCCTGACAGATCATGAGTGACTGCAGTTTTGGTAAGCAAGACTGAGACGAGAAAGGTGAGTGTAAGCAAGCTTAAATCAGAAACAAAAACAGGCTCGAAAAACCGAAACCATGACACTTTAGGTTTTCGTCAATTTGCTGGGCCCGCAAATACTTAAGCTCGCCGATACCACCCATGCCAATCCATGCGCAGTTACGATTAGTTTGGTATCATTACTGAAAGCATTGTGAACCACTCACATCACTCAGTTCTGGCATATTGTTCTGCTTGTTGAGGATGTTCATCTGCTGCATCTCCTTGAACTCAGGGTCATTCATGTCCATCATTTTAGGCGACAGCATAATAAGAAGCAGCGGCAACACCATCAGGAGAACAGTGGGGTTGAGAAGCAAATCCAAAGTACGCAACTGCTCCCGAGGCTAAGGAAGGGTGGAGATGAAAGCAATGGGTAGATGAAAGGCATTAAGGAGAAACTTTTGTATTGCTGAAACTTCGAACGGCATCAAGATCCCATGCCATAAAGAAACGGCAAATCCTACTCTCCCGAAAGGATAATATCGCAGCTAAAAGTGCCCCTTCCGCATGATTTAGAGCCGGTGAAGTAAGGCCTGACGATAGTAGACCGAGTAATGCAGCTGCAAAGAAGTTCAGACTTGCAGCAAAGTCTAGTCAGCAGAAACCACCTAAAAATAGATGTTTACAACTAAACTGCCTGTTTCTGTAGCCCTGAATGTAAAATCGGATATCAATATGAACAGGATTTCACAGCGTTCAGATTAAAGTAGGCGGTCATACGCCCAGTCAAAACTGTGCTAGTTCAAGTCCCTACTCCATCTGACGCACACAGGCCAACTGGACATAGGGTTTAGCAGGACCAGTCGAATGTAACTGAAGGCAGTAAGCCAAATAGATGTTAGGGCTAATGAAGCAGGAACTGATCAAATATTACCACTACATTATTATACCTACTTACACTACTCGTAAGGCATCAAAGACGTACTTGGAAGAATGCAGCTTTCCCAACAGATGTGATACGCAGAGGATAGGGCACTGATTTGACAGCATTTGTCTGCAAAAGATTGGCTTTGCGCGCCCTGATCTTGCCCTTGGAATTTATGTCCACGCGCACGGGCTGGTGAAAGAAAATGATGGAGAAACAACATGGCCAACGAAAGAATCCGATATGGTAACTGGTTGGCAAACATACGATAAAAAATAGGCTGTGAGCAAAGAGGATGGCCTACTTGGAAAAGATAGACGGGGTTTGTTATTTCCACAAGATAGGACCCAGACGGCACGTCGGAAACAATGAAGCTGCCATCTGATTTGACAAATCCAATGTACTTCTGACCATCCACCCGGACCCTGGTATGGATTACCCAGTCAGGAGATGCATTCAGCGGCGGCACAATGACCCCCTCAATGGAGGTGCAGTCAGAAGCCCTTAGCTGTTGCAGGAAGGTGACTATGAGCAGGAGTAGCATCTGTAAGAAGACAGAAGAATGCAGGAACTTAAATAAAACTTACGGTAAAATTGGAAAGTTGCTTAGCAATCACGCTTTTGGTTACTTGAAGAAGTGGTTTTTAAAAAGCAACGCGACGCAAACGCGATTTTCAGGCAAATTCGGCGGATGGGTCACTGTACAGTGACTATGCCAACTCGATAAACGTTTATCGAGTTGGCATAGTCACACTCTACTAGCACAGCTGTTACAGTTATACGTGGAACTCTAGTCTAGAAAGATTTCTGGAGTATTTCGGGGGTCTTGTATAAATTGGAATTATGTAGATAGATGAGTGGGATGGCCAAGACCAATGTTACAAAATGCGTGGTTTGTCGGATTGTCCGAAAAAAATCAACAGGTAAACAAAGGTTGAAAACGAAAATGTAAGTAAGAGGTGTGTCTGACCACCAAAAGGACCATGAAAAAATCGTGGCAGGTGGCATGACAAGGTTTAAGGACGTTGCCTAGGCTCATGAGATAGGTGGAGCCCGCATCGTGAATAGAAAATAGGGCACAAAATTTCTGTATCAGCAAGAGGGTTTTCAACAGCAAGTGTCGACTGTTGCTCAGGCATAAAGAACCCTAAGCAGACAGAAACAACGGTATTGAATAGTAGTACCCTTATTGGCGAACACCTGAAGATAACAGCCAGAACACGCACAAATCGGTGCGACAACCTAGAACCAACCGTCGCTTGCGAAGTCAGTATGAATTGTTCTTGCAAACGTCTTTGATAGGGTTCTGGAATGGCGAACGTACATTTAAACGTTTACTTTCAACAAGAAGCAAACACATTTTTCAAATTCGTTCGCGGGTCACAATCCACATTTAAGGTTCTGTCGCACTTAGGGTAAATATTGAAGTACGAGGGGTTGTGATGCAGTAGGATGTGGAGGGGACCGGATGCTTCTACGGCAGAAAAAGGGCCGGTGTTAGTAGAAGTAATAATAGTAGTATTATTAGTAACAAAAATACCTTCTCTATTGGGGTTTAATATTGAGAGAGGCAGTGAGAACGTAGTTCTAGTCGTAAGTCCTCATAGAACTATGAAAACTTTAAAAATGTACTAGACCATGTAAGCAGGTCACAAAAGCTTGGACGTATAGATAAACACTGGAAAAATTAAAATTTTTCTTAAATTTGTCTATACGTACAAAGATGCACATGAGATTTGGATTACTAGTCTTGCCGTTTGTCAAGATCTGCGAACTACAGCTGGATAAACATTTGGCAGTGCCCTCTAGGCGTTTAGAAATAAAACCACCCATACTATTGCATAAAATCAAAACGAATTCGGTCTGGTTTTGCATCAGGCACCAGTAAAAGACATTTGGAAATGGCAAAGATAAATTCCATGCCAATCTTTTGAAAAAAAAAGGGAATTGTAAATCCACATCCTATTGTTGTAGTTGTTAGTTTTAATTTCCTTTCGGGTTTTGTTGAATTTCACCATTTGGATAGTGTCTTGCTCTTCCGGAAATGCGTTATCCATTATCTCATTGTCTACGCTCCATAAGCAGTCGATATCGGGTCGCTATACTCACATCGAATCCCCTTGAAATATGGGCATTTCGCGCACTTGCAGAGCAGTACCTTCGTCCTGACTGGCTGACTGATTTTGTTATGCTGCGTAAGCAAGCGAGAACGGCGCCACTAGGTCCTGTTGTCCTGTGAGGTGCTCACCCGTGACTCTGCACTACCTCTTACTCCACCCTTCGCTTATCTCACCTACTGCTTATAAATAAATGGATAAGTAAATGGTTAGTTTTATCGAAAGAGTCTTAGGGATCCCATCATAGCAAGTAAATAGAAATTTTCAAGTAAATTTTAAAGTAATCAGACAGACTCTATATACTATTAACTTATAGGTTGTAGAATAAACAGTTACAAACAAAAGCGGTCAGCGAGCAGTGAAAAAGGTGCCTTATGAAAAAATCTACATTTGTATGAATTGGCTAACTTTTAAAGAGAAAAAAACTGCCGCTCATGAAATAGAAAATGTGCCGGTTTAACGGGACTGACCTGCATAAGGTATTTTAAGGGTATTCAAAACGTGAATAGTCAAGGCAGACCTTCCCAAACCGAATGAGCTTATCCGCCTCGAAGTGGCAAGACATAGGAACCTAGACGCGATCGCACACAGTCCGCTTAGAGTTTAGCCGAGGATGGAAAATTAAACACTAGGACGGTGGTGAAAGCGTAGAGTGGAAGATGCGGCCCAGGACCCTCTTTACTACACGACCAAACAACTAGCAAGGGGCGAAAATAGAGGATTCACGCCGTGATCGTCAATAGACCACTCGGGGTCAATATGAGGAGTTGACATCAAGATCGTGGGGCGAGGGTTTTAAATCACCGGGGCCAGAGTGGAATTCCGATGAATGTCGTCGATCACCCAAAGTGAGGCGGCTTAGAGCGTGCACATCAGCCTGACTCGGCCAAATCTTTGAGAGGATTTGCCAGAGAGGACATCGCGCCCTGAAAAGGACACAATGCATGTACTGAAAAATCGAAAAAAATGAAAATTTCTGATGAGAGACACTAGAAAGCGAAGTCATACAAAAAGGGACAAATATAAGCGGATTCGTAATTTGGAGGTATCGTCCCAAATTCCCAATGGCCCTTTCTCGGTGTCATAGAGGATGTTGTCCGGAAGGATGAGGAAAATAAAAGTTTAATTTAGTCAGTATTCAAATAAAGGTGAAGCCTCCTCCTAAAAGTGTGTAGATTATCTGATGATCTTAAATTTACTGGAAGGTTATCCTAAAGGAAAAGATATCGGGAAGCGAAAAAAGAGAACGCTTAGAGGTGGAGCAAACGGGAGGAGGTACAATCAGGGAAGAGTTGTGAAGATTGTATAGGCGACTATTATGTGTAAGGGCTGAAATTCGAGGAAGATTTGAACTATTATTAATGTCTTCTAACCCGTAAAAATTTAAGGTTTGTTATCTGGCATCTATCGGAGTAAGAAATATTCTGATGCTCCGTACCTCAGAGTCTTCAAGTCAAATGTCTTTGAACATTTTCAATTTTTGAACGAATATTCTCGTTCATCAAACAAAAGAATGAACAGCAATGCTCGAGAATGGGAAGAACAGACATTCGGTAATGTATTAATTTAATTTCAGGAAGATAGAAAGTTCGAGTGCAACTCTGATGTAAAGAAGGTAATCACCAATACTGAGCGTATTCCTAATATGTAGGTTTCACTCATTGCTAATTATAAAAAAGGGAGGGCTCGTGGTGGAAAACTAAGCTGTTGAGAAAAAGCAACAGGTGGAAAACAAAGTTGTTATGGTTTAAAATTTTTGGGGATATTACCACTTACTAAAGAGGCAACATGGTACGGAACAAATTAGAGCAGGACCCAGGAAGAGGAATGCTATTTTTAGGATTGGAAAAATATGAGGCATAAAAGTAGGATTTTGTGAATTTTTACATAATATGAGGGCTAGTTTATGTTAGATAGTTGACGTAATTGTCCATATCTCCTTCCTGTTCGTACGCGTGTTTCGAATTTGATTTGAACTTTTCGACCTCGAAGTGTTTCACTTTTATCGGGATTTCTATCCACTGGACGTCCTCACGGCTCGTATGCATTAAAAATTCGATTCGTCTTTGTGACAGATACATCCTTGGAAACCTACACCAGGACTTGTACGGGATAACCTATCTTCGTCCAGTCGCCTCTCTTCAACAGCACTGAGAAATCTCCAAAACCGGTGAAAGGCTGAGTCGTTTACTTCATATCTTTGAGCTGGTTGAAAATTCGTCTCACACCTTTAAGAAAACCCTTATAACTTGTAAACTCAGTGATTTTATTTAGAGAAATACCCTCAAAACACGATGTAAAAAAGCTGCCCAGGCAGGAGTCGAACCCAGGCAGTCAATCGACCAGAAAACCGCCATTACCACTAGACCAGTGACTCGCGCCAGCCTTGTCAAAACAAATGATAGAATTTCACCCCATTTTCGTGGTCACTCGATGAAGTTAAGGAAAACAATATCCAGACTGAATCTTCCTTCTGAATTTTTCACGCAGAGGGTAGCGGAGAAATGGAATGATCTCTGTCAGTGAGTCGTGGAGGCGACGTCTCTGCAACTCTTCCAGAAACGTTTGGATGATTATTTGTGTCCCCTGTTTTCCTTCGGCAGTCTGAATCTGAACTAAATACCACATGACCCCGCAAATTTTTTTCTCTAAGACAATGCTGCTTGAATTAATCAAGTACTGTTTTTATAGCGAATATTTTCATTGTTCGTGTACAGATATTTATAACGAGCTGACATGTAATCAATAGGGTTTTCAAAGGTTTTGTCTATTATCCTTACCAAATAAACCGAATAAACTGAGAAACAGCTGAAAATAGGAAAAGCCTTAATTAATTGGGCTGTCAGGCTAGCAATGGGATTGGAAAAATTATCAGCAACGTAGGATTCTTGCATTTTACAGGTTGGTGTGCAAGTGGTCTTCATAATTGGGGAGTAGGAGTTGACTTCGAGCATCAACACAATCAGTTTGTGGTCGTCATGTAAGAAAACCTGCGATCCATGTCAGCAGCCTTTCTCTTATTCCAATTTCAAACAGTTGTTGGGTAGGCGTATGTGTGGGACACTGTCGAGCGCCTTCTTGAAGTCCGTATAGGTTACATCGACCCTACCATCATCGTCCAGTTCCAGAGACTCTGTTCACCTCCCTCATAAATAAATAAATAAATTTTTATTTAATGCCAGTTAACAGGCATTGTCAAGGGAAGCGATTAAACACAAATCCGACCAGCAGTGAAAAAAACTCCTGAGCTAAAGGGATAAAAATAAAGTTGATGGTGGTTTTGTGGTTTGGAGGGCTCAGGAGAAAAAACTGCCGGCGGTGGTAGAATATCGACCGTCAAGAAGGGGGGAGGTTGCACGGTATCGGAGATTATCGGACGTCAAATTCCTTTCATGAAGTTGGGGATAGTCAAAGTAGAGGCGTTGAGGAACAGCTGGTGAGACCGGCCATAGTGTTCAGAGACCACAAACGCCATCGCTACGGTACAGTCGATCAGTAGATTCAGCACCCAAAATTTGTGGGAGCTTTTCTGAATGCAAAAATCTCTTAAATAAAGGATAATTTTGCAGAGTTTTCACACTCATGGGTAGTTTATTCCAAATAGCAATTGCATTTACAGAAAAGAACCGCCGATATTTAACAGTACGTGCCAGAGGCAGAAATAAGAAGACCTCACGGTGACTTTTACGTCGTGGGTGGATATGATGTCTTAAAGAGGTGAGTGGGTTAAATGTGTGATTATATAAGGAGGATATTTCGGAGGATAAACCCGGTCGTTCTACGTGCTTTGGAGACTATCAAGGCACAGTGCTCCGAAAGATTGAGACTTTTGGAGTATGATACACCCAGATCCTTTATAACCCTGGGCACATTTATGGAGTGACATTCAATATTTAGTTGAGGTTGGTGGTCGTCGCCAACCACCATGACTGAGAACTTATGCCAAGAAAGAGAAAGGCGCCATGTGCGGCACCACTGGGCGAAAGCCTGTAGGTCGCTCTTTAGGAGCTCAAGCACGATGTCATGATCTGCCGGCTTATATCGATATGCAACTTTAAGATCATCGGCATACATGAAAGGCTTACCATTCTAAAATAAATGGGGTACATCATTAACGAAAAGGCAAAATAAAAGCCGGCCGAGTACACTACCCTGAATGACTCCACTCCTCACACGTGTGGGGTTGGAGATAGTATTGGAAATCTTAACTCGTTGTGTACGAGTGCCCAGGTAAGAGGATATAAAATTCAAAAGTTTGCCACCTATTCCAAAAGAGGACAATTTCAAGAGGAGAAGAGCATGGTCAACACGGTCAAAAGCCTTAGTGAAATCGAAATATACTGTGTAAAGAGCAAAACCATGGTCCCTAGATTGGAGAACATAGTCAAAGAAAGAGAGTTGACAGGTGTCACAAGATCGAGCTTTGAGGAATCCATGCTGAGCAGCTCTCAGTAAGTTATTCGCTGTTAACTGACAGTATCAGTATCAGTATCAGTTTATTAAGGGAAATATAGGCAAGCGCCTTTGAATTCCCTCTTGGTTACAAGTCGTCGGAGAAAAACATTGATAAATGGGAAGGTGAAAAATGGATTTTGTACATACTCGCGGGCAGCTGGCAGCTAGCCGAAAAAGAGTAATCATTAATGGTTACTTACTAATTACAAGTAGTATAAACACCTATAAGATGTACCGGCTGTGTGAGTGGATGTGGGGGTGGTAATTGGGAAGCTTGATGCCTGCAGGTCAAGTTTACACTTGAAGGAGTTCACACAGGAGGAGGTTACAACATCGGTAGGTAGGGAATTCCAGGCTGCAACCACTCTGTTACTGAAAAAGGACTTTCGTCCATTGGTTCTTGATTTCCCTGCGCGTAGTTTTAGGGGATGGCCGCGCAAATTGGGCGTGTTAGCTTGGGTGAAATAATCAGTGGGATCTAAACCACAGTCTAGGCCGTTGATGATGCGAAATGTCTCTAAGATCTTCGAAACTGCGGGGAGGGTGTTTATTGGCCGAAAGTCATCAAATGATGTAGATTTGCCGTGCTTAGGAATGGGCAAAATGTGTGATTCCTTCCACAAGGTAGGATAAGTTTCACTTTCAAGAGCAAGATTAAATATCTTGCATAAGAGGGATGGGAAGATCGTGTTTGCATCGGCTTTTAAAATGCTTACTGGGACACCATCAGGGCCTGGACTATAAGATTGACGAAAACGCCGAATCGCAACAGTCACATCCCACAGAGTGAAAGTTATAGTTTCTAGAACTGCCCCGGTCAATGACTGGATGGTCGGAAGCGGAGTGGTCGAGTCTTCAATAAACGTTTTGGACAGGAAATCATTGAAGCTATCCGCGGTTAACTGGGCATCAACAATGGGATTTCCGAGATCGTCTCGAAGGATGGGATACTGCGTCTTTCTCTGAGTTCGTATTTTCCTAGAGAAAAGTTTCGAGACACTTAACGAATGGTTTTCGGTAAAGTGGACCTCTTCGGCTAGCTGTTTTTCTTCAGACAATCTCTTAGCTCGATCAAAAATATCACAAATCAAGGGCAGAACAGAAACATCGTTCTGTAGATGGAAACGACGATAAAGCCTGTGCAATCTGCGACGAAAGGGTAAAGGTAGGAAAACCTCATCCCCAACATTAATAATTTTCTTACGAGGGTTAAAACGAGAAAAAAGCGGATCCAGCATCGCGCAGGAGGTTAAATAAAAACGAGCAGTATTCTAGAACAGGCCTAGCGTACATTTTCTGAAGTCGGGTTCTTATATATTTTGTTTAAACTTCGGAGGATAAACTTGATCGTTCTGTGTGCCTTGGAAACAATCGTATCGCATTGCTCTAGACGACTGAGATGTTTGAAGTACGATGCACCCATATCCTCTGCGACCCTAAGTACATTTGTGTCGTATCTTTCAATGCTTAGTTTAGGCCCATGATAGTGGACATCCAGCATAAATGAGTATTTGTACCAAGAAGGGGAAAGGCGCTATACGAAACACCGTTGGACAAAATCCCGAAGTTCGTTCCTAAAGAGTTCCAGCACGTGTCGCGATCTGCCAGGCTATACTGATATGCAACTTTCGAATCACCAGCATACACAAAGGGTCTATTATTGTGGTATAAATCTGGCACACTATTGTCAAAAGGCAAAATAAGAGCGGTCAAGCACACTGCCATGAGTGATCTCACTCCTTACGTACGTAGGGTGCGAAAGTATTGTACATAAATAGGGTCATCAATGGCTCTGCCCTTAACACTTCAAATACATACATCCTTACACCTTTGATTCCGACGATGTCCGCCGTATGCTCCACAACAGGGTGAAAGCATTAATGGTTACTTGTGCGTGATTTAGTTTCTAGTGATAGAAGACTTGCAAAACATCCACCGTACTCTCTCCTCCCTCACCTGGACCCGGTATCAAGACAGAATCAAAATGACCGGAGGCGGGGGAGGCCGCAGTGGATGGTACCGTCGAGCCCGCACCTTGGCGCCGCACTCCACACCTCCTGGTCCACACAGCAAATGACCAGGCCTTTGACCAACGACAACAATGGGGAGCTGCAGGGGCCCCAGGATGGGCAACGTCTGCCTGCAACCGGGTCTGCCACGGCACCCCGAAATGTTGGCGTTCGTTATCGTATACAAATCCGATAACGCCTGCCAGAATCCGATGCGACCCCCGTTTTGGTCCCGCGTACCTACCACGTGGCCCGGTTGGGGCACACATACTTACAAACGTCGTGTGCGAGTACCCAGGTAGGAAGTTTGCCTCTATTCCAAAAGAGGAAAGTTTCTTGAGAAGACAAGCATGGTCACCATGATCAGAAGCCTTAGTTAAATCAAAATAAAATGTGTAAAGGGCGAAATCATTGTCCCTGAATTGTGTTACATAGTTGAAGAAGAAAAACCGGCAAGTGTCACAAAACAGAGCTTTCAGGAATTAGTGTTGGGTGGCACTCAGTAGGTTTTATTCTGCTAGATGATCACGGCACATAGGCTTATCTTTGGTTTAGGCCGCCATTATGTTCGCATTAGGTGTAGGCCGGGTGCGTACTGACCGAAAATCGTCAAAGGACGCAACACGGTCACATTCGTTGGGGAGGATGAATTTGGCGTTCCGTCCCTGAACTGGGAAAATTTTTATATTCGGGAGAGAGACAGAATATCTTTTATGGAATAGACGTCAGTCTCATTTACGTCGGCCTTTAGAATGTTGGCTGGATATCTGTCTGGATCTAGACTATGATATTGATGAAAACGCCGAATATTTACAGTTACGTGCCAAATCAGTCGCGGCTGCATCAGACGCTTCTGATTCTAAAACGAGTCGGCCCTTAAGTTCTGACTCACTTATAACTATTGCCTTTCCATTTTGTCGCAGTTCTACATGCCTTTCTGTTAAGCAACCTAAGCCTAATCAAAATGATCTTCTGGTTTGGAGATCGAATTCTACCTTACCCCAGATGAGTGACGGCTTTTTATCAATGGGTGGACCACTGACTCGTTTTCATTTTACTCAACCTTTACACCCTAGTCTGTCCATAGGCTCCATAGGTCAAATTAAATAGAGGGATTTTACAATTAATGCGGTTCATGGGTCAGCCTTCGAGATCGGGATAGATAATTTGTCACCTTTGACCACAACGATCGACTTTTACTAGGCTCATCGCCAAGAAGTTATTTAAATCCGCGTGCCCGTCTTCCCGATGGCCTTGGCCCCGAAGCTGGCTTTATTCCGGCATCCCGTCCTACGCAAATGGTGTGTCTTGCTGACGGCGTCGCTGAGCAAAGGGCAGTCATTAAAAGAGCCCGTTTCGAAAGATTCACTTGCAAAATCCACACAGTCAGCTTCCCAACTTCCATCAACCTCACTTAAACAAAGAGGTGACGGCGAATTACTTATGCTTACTCGTTGTCTAGTTAGTCAGTCAATCTGCGGCAGATGCTGGGTACACCACAGTCATTATCGGTGGCATTGCACTGACTGGTTTGTGTGTATTGTCAACTTCACTACTGCTTAGGAGTCATATTCTATGTTATTGGAAACGAACTGTTTTCGAAAAAAAGTCCAACCCGCGTCTACGAAGATGCCCTAAAGCTTTGTGCGAATGATCAGCGCGTGCAGGATCTGTTGGGGAGTTCCATTACTGGCTGTGGCGAAGCTAACCGTCGAGGCCGCCGAACTCACGTCGCGTAAGATCCCTTCGGCACTCTGTGTGGCCTTAGTTGGCCTCATACTCTATTGTTTTCGTATTAGCCATATAGACGTCTGTGTCTTCACATCTTCCGAGGTTCGACAGTATAAGATTTGTCTTTGAGTTACTGCAGACATACGAACTAGTTAATTGTCCGTTAGGTGCGCGCATACTGTTGTTAGATAAAACAATCCATCCTGCCACCTTTCGACATTTAGACTAAACAATCTAAAAACCAATGGTTGTGTCAGCTTCGAGTTAGATATCTTCATATCTACAATGTTTTGTTCTTTTGAAGATATATACCTTCGATTATTTTTCTGCTCCTTTCTGCCTCAATCAAAGAACTTCGGTGTTGCGTCTTTTAGTTCCTCTTAACTCTTTGGCCACCACCGTCCTTGTTCAGTCCGAATGATTTTCGATGAGGAGATGAAGTCGAACTTTAAGTCCACTGAAGAGGGATTTCATGCAGCCGTATCAGTTGGGAAACCTTTGCGCACGGGCACAAAGTATTGTTTGACTACAAGTTTCCCATACCGTTTCATGTTTACAAAGCTTAAATAATGTCAACGCAGTTATCGCCTAATCCGACCTCCGCTGGATCTGTCACCGATCAACAGATAAGCCAGCACAAGAGCTGATCGTCCTCGGCGTCACTTCCCACTCAAACGCGTGTCACATGAGCCAGCCATACTGGACTTTACTTGATCGGTCGTCAAAGCATGGTAGACACGAAGATCAATACATGAATCTTTATAAACTGCGTCTTATCTGAAAGCGGTGCAAACGTCCCGACCCACTCTCAAGGAGGACAGTACCGTCCTTAGCGAACACACTACTCAAACATTCAAAACCTTCTTAGTGCCTCTGCGATCATGCATGATGTAGCCGATTATGACAATGTAGGTCTTGCCTCCATGCATGACCATCAACGACGGCGAGTCTCCACAACATCAACCACCATTCTTTTTCTACGAAACCTGAATACCAAGGATCAAAAACAACCTTTTTGACTGGCTCTCTGTGCTGAACCCAGTGGGCAATGACTCCAGGTCAAGTGTGACAGAATGTGCTCAAGCCATCTTCGGTGGCCTGAAGTATTCTTGCGATGTCAAATCTGTCTCGTTCGAAACGCAGTCGCTGTACGTCACTTTAGGGCCTGTTCTCAGGCGACGGTGGTCAAATACATCTAGTTTTTGCTCATTTCTACGCACAGCCCATCGTTCATAAGGACTGGTAGTACGGATACCCGGCGCACACGGGGTTTACGGCTTGAGATATCCCGTCGAATTCATGCCCTCATTCTAAGGATTTCGAAAATCCTGTGTTCAGCATCTACTAGGGAGACGTTTTTACTTTATCCACTTGGCAGCAGCCATGCCCGGAATATTTGGAACACTAATAACCAAACTCAAGAGTTCCAAAACAATAATTTTGGAAGGAAAAATGACTTGCAGAGCTGATTTATTGTATTACGGGCGTCCCGGATAATTTGTCCAACTCACTATTATCAAAGCGTTAGATGCCCAAAACTGAACAGAAATCTAAATGCCTTGTTAAACCGGTCATCCTTGAGCTGCTCGAGTTTCCTTTTCTCGGCCTTTTGGTAGATATTTGGTGAGTTCGAGAACTGTTTTTATTATCAGTCATCACCTCAGTGGAAAGATGTTGAGCCTCTGTAGAGATTGTTTGGCCTGGTGGCTCCTTTGTTCGCCATCGGTTGGGCTTGTTGTCGATCTATATCTAGTTGATTTTCTTCAGTTCGACGTGTAAATTTTGTCCTGGCCTTGTGTAGGTAAAAACACTGGACTTTATAAGCCGTAGGAGAGTCAATGTGCCTGTTTATGGAGTCGGCATCTGAAAAACACGCCTCAAATGTGATTCGTCCTGTGCTTGGGATGTCTCAGCCTAAGATTGCCGCTCCCTGCAGGTCAAGAGTATGACGCATTTCTCAGATATGCGTTGCAAGCTGGTATTTTGGACCTAACCTCCGAGTTACCAATTTAGCTCATGATGGAGTCACCCCGTAAAGGATAAAACATTTGGTGCTCACTAAGTATCTACCAAAGTTCGGGGCTCATTATGCCAACGATACTTTCCTCATTGTCAAAGGTACTCACATTGAGCACTTGAAGGAATTATTGAAGTCTGTTGATTCAAATATCCCATTGACGACCGTAGCCGAGACAAAAAACCGTTACTGTTGAACTGTAGCACTCTCCTGACGTTTTCCTTGCATTGGTGACTTTTCTGGGTACTGTAGTTTTCAGTTGCCTGGTGGTATACCGACGCGCGAGGGCGTCTGAGAAAGGAAGTTTGATTGCTTGTTTCACCTTTCATTATGGGGAGCCAGTTAAGCTCTGAGAAACGTCAGCACTATGATAGATGAGTTCCTGCGAGCCGTGTGTTCTCAAAGTATTTAAATTGTCAATTTGTTCGGGTTAGCAGCCATTAATCCCGATTGCTGTTTTCTCTTAGAAATGCTGTTCGAAAATGCCGGTCTTCTGGTGCCTACAAATAATCCGATTATTTGGTAGCCGCATTCGCCCACAACACTACATCCTATGAGTCACCAAAGCTTGACGCTTTTATGTCACTATCGTTAGCATAGTCGATGTAAGTCAGACAGATCCCAGATTTAGATTCGACTCCGTCAAAAACCCTGTAGGTGGCATACTTGATCAGTATCAACAGCAGAATGCAACTCTATCGAATTGCTGGAAGAGGTAGCTGTTGGACAGGACTCGCGTAGTGATAGCGGACCTCGATAAGAATGATAGTTCTTGTCGATATATAATCTGGTTATGTTATCCGTAACATGGAGCATGATTGGCAGAATTGAACTTTGCGGCGAAGTCAACAAAGCATACGGCCGTCGGTTGCTAGTAAGCATGTCGGAATTCAACGATTCGTCACAGTCGCCGTCATCTTCCGGATTTGATGGAGTAAATAATCTTTACAGGACCTAGTCTGCAATGTCCAGGCGGACAGCTGACCCAGTCATTGACCCGTCGCTAGTTGAGTCCGAAAGTTTTCCTATCTGCCTTTCCGACGGAGAACTTCAATGGTTATCATTTGCATCAGCCTTCTCCTACTCGGGTTGCAATGCAAAAAAGGATTTTTCTGTGTTCAGAGCCTCTGTTGTGCTGGGTTGTCACAAATTTGCAATATCAAAGCTGCTCGCACGTGACGATTGTGGCGCAGAACAAGAAAGTGCTCTGACCCATAGGCCTTACCAGGAGCTGACCTCGATTCCGTCCGTAGTCTTCTCGGTCTCCAACTGTCAAACCTACTGAAGACGTTTAGAAGTGCCTAGGGCAAGAAACCCAACAACAGGGATTTCGTCATCCTTAACCGACGCCTGAGTAGCCTGAAGATGTTGTCTCAGACCACAATTAACAAAGTTATTTTAACTCTGCCGAGAAGAATTGATGTCAACGCTGCGCATATAGGACGAACTAGACGCATGGGCCGAGTCTAGTACTTGGAACTTAAGCCCCGACCGGAGACACCTGCAAATCACAGGATAAAAAAGCGTCGTAGCTGGTGGTTTTGTTCCACGTTACTGGTGTTAGGGAGGCCCATTTGCAACGCCACGTCCTCCCCCCCCCCCCCATATCCTAACTTATCCTTAGAGGTGCAAGTAAGCACACCGAAGTATTGAAATCGGATGAGCAGTCGTTTCTCGCACTTTTTATGTTAGTTTCCTGTGACCGCTCATGTTATTTTCTTTGCTGGCTGTTTGGTACGGCGCTTGTACGATCTGCCTTACGAAAGTGCAACAATTGGCGATATGAAGTTCTCCCTGGCCCAGCTTTGGCGTCCATAAGATATGCGTTGACTAAGTAAAGAGTATGAAGAGTATACTTATCCAGAAGTATAAACTACAGTAAGCATGTGTCCTCTGCTTGGGTGTATATGATTCTCCTTTGTTCGAGGGTACAATGACCGGTGCTGTTGATTTATTCTTAAGGGATCTTGAATTAAGTTTAAGGTTCACATGGTAACTTAGGGTACGCCACCTCTATTTCCCGGCAACGTAGCTGGAGAATAAATAATTTTCAAGATTTAGTCAGACAATAAGTCGTCTAACCTGAGTACTTATCGGTTATATTTTTATGAACATAAATCTGCTGCTCTCTGCAGGAAACGGTGATGGTGGCCACCCTTAACACCGCCGGTTATGCTTTTAAGGTCGAAACGCTCAGTTCGCTGTTGTCTTTATCTCATTATCCGATACTGGGTGGCAATCTCCGTTAGAAAGTCTATTCAGTGCTGCCCGATCACCACTGCGCCCTCCAGGCAGCAATGAACATTATCGCTTGTGACAGTCCAGCTACCTATGTGTGGTTCAATCTTCCACCAACCTGATTTGAGCCGCCGTCATCCAGGCTATCCAACCTACGTTTTTATCGTTTGTCAACTTCTTTCTAGCTTTCTACTCTCATCGGGACAGTAGTCTGGAACAGGGCTTTCATCTATTCGTGTTTATCTCGTAGATAGTTTCAGTTTATCGTAGGACTTGTCACAGTACAAACGTCTTAAAGAGATTAGGTAAAAACGGATGCCATACGAAACTTCAATTTGGTTTTCTTCGATTGCCGTCAAACCGAGCTTATTGCCCTAAGTACTGTTGAGCATAGTTACATGCACAAGTTTATACTGTTCTCCACAAGATGTTATCGGCTTTTTCTGCCCCTTGATGGCTTCCCTCTGTTCCGACGTCATTTCTTCGGTTTTTCTATACCCCCTTCCAAAAATGCGCAGAAGTAACGGTATACTCGATGCGAGTTAGTTTTATACTCGGAATTTTTAAACGTTGCTCTTTTTAACTAGCTGAAGACTACGGTTTGTCCTTCTATCGGTTAATTTGCATCACACCTATCGACAACCTGTCTTTATTCGCTCTGTTGAAATAAACAACCAACTCCCCCAGAGTTCACGGAAATTCGTAAAAAATGTGGTACTGAATCGCTTGCGTCCAAAAAAGTGAGGCTTCAAGTCTCAGATTGTATAACAGTGAATTCACAGTTGCGATTCATACAACGGGTTTCAAATTACTTCGGACGTTTAAAATCTACTAGCGATTTCTTTGTTCACGTACTTGCGTTCTCGTTAGTAAGGATATACTTGCGCACCGACTGTTTGTGTTCTGTTCAGACGTTTATGTTAACTTGAAGAACTACCGACTAGTAGTGGGGCGGTAGAAAACTTCAAGATAGTGTCTTCTGACCCACAGAGTGTTTCAACCTATCACGACGCCCTATTGGCCGTGACTTCGAGGGCTGCCAACTGCCGGGGTAATTCTACCCTTCCCTGGGCTGAGGGTCAGGCTGCAGTGTGGCCGTCATGGCATTCTCACCTACGTTAGATGCGAGGCCTCTGGTCGTGTGTGTGGCTCGCGCAGACGGTCTGTTCAGCTTGCGCCAGTCGTCTTGATGGATGAGGGAGGAGAGAGAGTGCGGCAGATGCCGCACAAGTCTGTCGGTGCAGCGCCCACCCCGCTTTTCACGCGATGGACGTCCTCGTTTACCACGGTCGAACTGTTCACCTCTTTTGAGGCAAGACCTGTCAACTCGAGTCTTCATCACGCGTCCGCCGTTGGGCATGTCCGGAACCACCACCTGGGAGACGGGATCAATGGTGTGTTGTGGGTAGAATACATTACAGGGAGAGACTCACAGCATCGAATTTTGTTTGCTGCAACAATGACCATGTATGACTTAGCCGGCCTCAGTAATGTTCCCTCAAAGTGTCACCTCACCTATAATGTTCTGCGTAAGCAGGATTGGGAACTTCCACCTACTGTTCTTTTTTAACAAATTCTGGAGGCTCAAGAATCCCCTGAATATCTCGACAAACCGTGGTGAGACTGGACATTTTTGCTTCTCATATGCACGCGCCTACCCGCCTCCAGTGTGACCGACTTGCACACACGCATTTGCCTTGTTTAATTTCCGAGGAAATTGATGCGCGAACTTGGAGTAAATCTTTCGAAACGGGCCTTTTCAGGCACGGTCCAAAGTTTGATATGAATGTTTGGGCTGAAATCCATCAGCTGCTGTGAAATAACCGCTTAATATTCACAAAACGCCAACAGGCAGCCAGTAGTATGGAACTGCGCAATGATTTACCGTACTAACAACACAGGTATTAGCTAAAAGCCCAGACACGCGTGTTTTGCCGATCTTATGCCGCTGCCTGACGCAGCTGCGAGGGGTTCGGCTCGTCAGTGGGTCCCCCAGCTTTCCCTGTGTGTTTTCTGGTATATAAACGCTTGCTTCAACTTGCCTTGTTTAATTTCCGAGGAAATTGATGCGCGAACTTGAAGTAAATCCTTCGAAACGGGCCTTTTCAGGCACGGTCCAAAGTTTGATATGAATGTTTGAGCTGAAATCCATCAGCTACTGCGGAATAGCCGCTTAATATTCACAAACCGCCAACAGGCAGCCAGCAGTATAAAAGTGTGCAATGATTTGCCGTACTAACAACACAGGTAAATCATTGCACACTTCTAAACACGCATTTACTCGTATTCGGGGAATTTGTCCTAAAAACCCATTAGAACCCCCTTGTCATCGGACTACACCCTAAAGACTGGTTCTCTGGTAGTTTGCGGCCCCCGAGGGTAACGTTTCTAGCGAGGCAGTGTTGCGTCGAATGACTCGAACATCTTTCATCGGTAGTGCTCCCGGTGGCTTCTGTGCGTGTTCCCCAACACGTTCTCAAGTCAACTCCAAAAAGACGCCCTATTTCACCTGTACAGCCCGTTTATCAGAGGATGTAGGCGTCCTTTTAGGTCTGTCTCCGACCGTCGTCTATTTTGGAAAGTAATAATGCATCTGGTCCATAGGAAAGAACAGTTTCTCAACTGCTTGAGACTATGATAATGTGAGGCATCACGCGGACTGCAGGTAAGATGAAACAACAAATATTTAGGGCTATAACCTACTCAAATAGATACAGTAGGTATTATTTATAAGCAACCGATGTTTGGGTGCCCTCTCCCGATTGTTACCGACCAAGTTACCAATTAAACTAAGGTGGATCGGCGAAGTGCAGGCAGGTCTTATTGTCTGATACCTCCTGCCAGCGCATTCCGACCAAGTGTCGGAGGCTGATACGTCCTACGCAGTTCATCAGCACGAGCTGTCTCGTTCCAGAGGTTTTTTTAAGTCGACTGCGCATTCTGGCAGTAGCCGTAGTTGAGACAATGCCTGACTGACTGACTCCAGACGACCAGTTGGCAGGCATACGTTTGCCTTCGATAAGTTCTCACCACACCAGGCCATTTATATTGAAACGGCGCAGAAGCAAAAACATGTCAACGTTAAGAAAAGTCGATTAAAGTTCGTCTCAAAACACAGGCAGGGTGTGAGAATATGGGGGGTGGGGGCGGGAGCAATAACAGTCAATGCCAGACATGGGGTGAGAGTGGAAGGGCGCTCGGAGAGTTGTATGGTTAGTCGACTTTTGACTGACTTCGGTGTAGGCCAACCAGGTTCTACTAACGTCCCTTCTTCCGCACCCACAGTTCCTCTAGCTGGTCGGACAAAGAGGGCCGACAACACATGGCTATGCGCTTTTTCCTCAAAGGACCTGTTGCGTCTGGAACGGCACACCTGGAGGTTTACGAGGTGGGTCTTTACAAAAATTTTTCTCCACCTTCGTTTTCCGCAAAATTCCTCATTTTCTTTACCTTCTATTTCACTGTATTTTAGAATGACAAAAAGGAATTTGAGTACCGGTATTTGGTCGTTGAAGTCGACGGTCTTGTGAAGAGGCAGGTGATCCTGCGTCCAGAGACGACACCTGCTGAAGATTAATTCGTACTTTTAGATTCGTTTCTAGCATTATGCTGAAAACTAACCTCCTACTTCTGAACCCCCCTCCTTCCACGACGCTCGCCGACTGTGTCCAAATGACTGTCATTTTGTAAATTAAGCTGCATTAACACCCTCAGTAGGCGTTTTGTGCGTTTTTTTCAAATGACAGTAGACTCAATTGCACAAATGTGGTTTCTGTCCCTTGAAGATTCATTAAACGAGGCTTTAAAACTACTGAGGCCACATTTTCTCTATCAAAGGAGCCGTCGTCCTTGTTAAAACAGAATCCTGAATTATGTTCCTCCGTCAGAGGCAGGCAGCTGTTTTCAATCGCTTCTATTGGACTTCCTTCTCGTTGGGAGGAGTCTATAGCGCCCTCTACCTAATCGATCGATTCTGCAACGTAGTTTTTGAGGGTTTCTCCACAAACTGAGGACTCGTTCACCTTGGAAGTACAGCGCGTGACCGATCTCATGAAATGTTTACCAAAATTCTGGAATGCGTTTCCGATTAGAAAGGATTACTTAAGTGGGGTTGTTATACTGATTATCATGCAGCATAACCCTATAACATTTCGGACTCGCCAGGATGTCGGCTTTTACATGCACTTCTTTTCGACCTCCTGCAGAAACCACACTCGGTAAAAAATGGCTACTTAAATAGCATACATTTTCCCTGTTAATTTTCGATGGTCTTATAAATTCAAATACATTTTATAGAAAACATGCATAAAAATATGCTTTATTTTGCTCATCTGGAAGGAAATCATATTGTTTTATATTTTATGTCCGACGAAAATGTGTATTTACGTTTTAAAAAAGTTTTTCAATTCCCGAATAATTTTCAGCCTGATCTGCCATTGCACCAGCGTTTACCAATTTCAGTCTACAAGGTGCACCCTTTCCGCATAAGGAAAATCATATGTTCCTCTATGTCTTTGCGAAGATACCACATAGAGTTCATGAAATTTTGCAATGGATCCGGACTGTGTTGTACATTTCATGAGGAACATTGGTAAACGGACATGTGTTGTCTTACTTGCATGGACATCGCATGGTCTTAAAAATCTCATAATTAGAAACTTTTTTAAAACCTACATACACATTTTCTTTGGGCATAAAATATGAAGATAATGTGATTTCCTTCCAACTGAGCAAAGTAAAGCATATTTTTGCGCATGTTTTCTATAAAATGTATTTGAATTTATAGGACCATCGAAAATTAATAGGAAAAATGCACGCAACTTAAGTAGTCCTTTTTTTTACAGAGCGCGGTTTCTGCAGGTCGAAAAGAAGTGCATCCTGGCGAGTCCGAAATGTTATAGGGTTATGCTGCATGATAATCAGTATAACAACCCCACTTAAGTAATCCTTCCCAATCGGAAATGCATTTCAGAATTTTGGACAACATTTCGTGAGATTGGTCACGCACTCTATGTCCTGGTGGACCGGCTCACGGTTGGATTGTGATGCTGCAACTGCTGCTACTGCTGCTGCTGCTGCTGCTGCTGCTGATGATGATGATGATGATGATGATGATGATGATGATGATGATGATGATGATGATGATGATGATGATGATGATGATGATGATGATGATGATGATGATGATGATGATGATGATGATGATGATGATGATGATGATGATGATGATGATGATGATGATGATGGTGATCATGATGATCATGATGATGATGATGGCGGCGGCGGCGGCGGTGACAGTTGTGTTTGCCACCATCACTCGCGTGCTCGCTGGTCAGCGTTTCATGACCCCCCGCATAAAAGACGGCGGAGTTGTCGCCTCTCCCTTTTGGAACATGTCTAATTAAACAGTCCGCACATGCTTCCCGCTTTTATAAGTCGAGGAGCTTGCTGGGATGGGTCATTTTCTCTGTTTCAGGCTGTTTGGCTTACGGCCCTATTTGGAAGAAAATCTTTGGGCTATTATGAGGCAGCCGAGACCTGTCATGCGACTCTCCCGCTGCCTCCTAGACAGTCTGTTTTGATTACTCCAACACATGGCGACCGCACGTCCACCAATGTCCTCCTGAAACAGCTGTCGCCCCATCTATTCTATCTTTTTCACTCTACTTTCTCCATGCTTTTTGCTTTGTCACTTTGTGCTCTGATAAGTGGTCGTCCGTTGGGAACGCCTACCACCAGAGGATTGGGCTCATTTCCCTGTGAAGCCTATCAGCTGATTAAGCGTTTATTTCACAATTTGCAAGCACCCAATGTACAAAGGCCGACTGACGGGACTCCTCGTTCTAGTGCCACTTGTCAATCATGTGCCTCTGTGCTCGCGTATCGGCTTGGTGGCCGGTGGTGAAGAGGGCGTTGAGTCGGCTCGAGACCTTAGCCGCTTCTTGTGGTCGATCTCAAAAGGATGGACTTTTCCATGCGGCCCCGTATCTCTCAGCTTTCTCTGACTTTCTGGCGGAGTCGGTTTCCTGGTAGCGCGTTTGGAGACAATACCCTCAAGCGATCATTAGTGCTAGATGCCTAGTTCGGGTGTAAATACTGCAGCTGTTGGACACCTACTGTTTTATGACCACCGACTGCGAAATACTCAGTTTACGCTGGCCTATGGGGCAGTAAGAAGCTAACCAGAATAGGGGGAGGGGGTATGGAAGACATTGGTGGCCCTTTACTGCCAGCTGACTGGCACTGCGAAATTGGATGTGACTGCACGCCTAGGTGCGGGTCTACGCCGCGCCAGTCACCTGTCTCCTCTCTTACCTTTGGTCATTGCACCTGGCCTGGTAGGGGAGGAGGAGAGCGTGGTAGATGCTGCGCGAATCACGCGCAAGTCACCGTCCCTGCTCTCTCTCCTGGGGAACAGATGGTGGGCATCGTTGAAATGGACGGTCGACATTATCATGGTGAGATGGAGGTGAACCATCGTTGTCACCCCGCCAACGCGGTCGGCGTTCATTGACTGAAATTCTCCAACCATCGCGTGTGCTACCTGGAGTCGGTCTCTGTGCAAATTTATAACCGCAGTACTGCATTGGCCCTGCCGAAGAAGGTCAGAAAAGCGTGGCCGGTAAGAATCGGGAGATGGCACCCGAAAAAATCCGCCTAACGAAAGCAGCCTGTCTTAGGGGACAGGTGGTAATAGGGGTTTTATGGGTGATGGCTGGTGGGGATGTACGATACTAGCTGACAGAAAGCCTTATTTGAACAGGTGAATGATCGAAGTTGGCGCGCTCTCCGTCCCGTTATTACAAAATGGGTCGCCAAAGGCAGTATAGTGGTAACGGACGAGTGCAGGGCGTATAATCGTCTTCCCTCAGAAGGTTATCTACATTTCTCTGTTAACCACTCAAAGAACTTCAAGGCCCCTACCACCGGACGGCACATCAATGCCATTGAGGCATACTGGACTAGACTGAAAGGGAAGCTTCACGATGGAGGCCCTGTATGTGGTCGAGCTGTGTGGGCTCACATAGACGAAGTTCAGTATCGTCTTTGGTTTGACCTCAATGCCATGTTTTTGACAGATGCCTGGGAACTGTTCCTGTCCCATGTTGTGCAGACTTATCCTATTTAAAAGTGATTTTGTTGTGTAATAAACTGTCATAATGCGAATGTATGCCGTAGATTCAGGTGTATGTGTGTAACGATGGGGAAGGTTGGGTAATAGCGACCATTGTCCATGTAACCTCCTGCGATTTTCGTTCGGCCAGCCCATGTCCAGTCCAAATAGTGCGTGAAAGTAGGCCCGCAAACGCTGCTATAGCCTGAGGGCGTTTGAGTCCACTGTTAAAGGTATAATTTCTAGGTAACGGATTTCTTTGGGTACCATCTCCCGATTGTTACAAGGTGGGCTAACATGTAATGTCAACCGAAATTCCGAAATACGTTTTCGTTTCGAAAAGATTAATCAAGTAGGGTTGTAAAACTAGTCAGTCTGCAATATAATTCTATATCATTTCAGTTACCTCAGGATGCCGGCTTTCGAATTAACTTCTTTCCGGCTGCATGCAAAAACTACACTCTGTAAAAATGACTACTTGAGTAGCATGTATTTCTCTCATTGGTTTTCGATGCCCCTAAATGTCCAATTATATTTCATGGAAAACATGCATAAAAATATTCATTCCTCCGCTCATTCAGTAGCAGTTTACGTCTTCTTCCAATCTTTTACTCTAAGGAAGGGTACAATTCGGTTTTCAAAAACTTTTCCAGTTCCCGAATAATTTTGAACCCGCACTACCGCTACACTTGCATCCAGGGCTTCCAAACTACGAGCCGTCTCTTTTCCGCGTACGGAAATCCACACATTTCTCTACGGTAATAAAGGGGGGCCATATGGGATTCATAAAATTTGGCAGTAGATTTAGGCCATATTGTTAACTTTGCAAGGCACATTGGTAAATGCAGAGACATGATGATTTATGAACGGCCATTTCAGGGTAGTTAAAAGTCCCACGATTAGAAACTTTTTAAAACCAAGTTATGTCCTTCTTTCGAGTATAAAATTGAAAGAAGACGTAATTTTCTACTGAATGAATAACAGAATGAATATTTTTATGCATTTTTTCAATGAAATATAATTGGAATTTTAGGGACATCGAAATTCAGTGAGAAAAATGCATGCCACTTATGCAGTCATTTTTTACAGAATGTAGTTTTTGCATGCGGCCGGAAGAAAGTTCGTTCAGAAGCCGGCACCCTGAGGTATCTGATATAGCATGAAGGCGCTTGAGTCCACTGTTGGAGGTATTTTTTCTAGGTAACGCAATTTTTTCGGGTGCCATCTCCCGATTGTTACCGCGTGGCCTTCCAGAAACAACTGTCCCTAAGTGCGTACCCATCTATTTCAGCCTATCCATCTAGCATGCGGTTCTAGACAAATAGATGACTTCTCTGATGCTGATAACGTATCAAGCGGGGATGACCACTACGGTTTCGGGGTGGGCAAATTAGTGGCTTTGGTGTTATTTGAATTATGGTGGGGCAGACTTGGGTGACACCTACTTTACTCATCCCATGACC